ATATATATATATATATATATATATATATATATATATATATATATATATTTCAGTTTTTTATTTGATTCTCATAATTTTTTTCTAAAATCCTAAATATCTCTTATCGTCGTCAATGTATCTCCTCCATTATTCGACCTTATAGCTTTCATTTAATTATAGTCATCTCCTTTCCCCTTTATGAGGTATGTGATAATCATCTTAAAGTTATCTTACTTTTATTTTTATTATATTATTTTTATCTTAAAATTATCTTATTTTTTTATTTACTATTTTGATTATGCTATTGTCGTAGCCTCATCGTCTTATCTATCCGTCATACTCTTAATTAATCTCTGAACTATGTTCGTATATATCTTATGATTATAATACAACTTTTAAATGATTAAGATGAAAAAAATCACGAGACAATTATGATAGGAAAAAATGAGATGTAAAAAAAAGATGTCGATGATGACAAGAGATATTTAAGATATCAATAAAATTATGATATCCTTATGGAAAAAAAAAATTAAAAAAAAGATGAATCACCCTAACTTTTATACAAATATAATGTGACAAGAAGAATCAAAGATAAATTATTGAGTCAGTTTCAGCAGCCAATGGATGAACACCATCCATGTCCCCTGTTCTTACCCCCTCCTCCCCTGTTTTCATGGGGACGCCTTTAATTGAGTAGCCCATCTCTCCCTCTCATTGTTGGAGCTCCTCGTCTCCTTCAGGCTTTGGCTCAATGGCTCTTTCTCCTACCTTTCCGCTTCCAAATCCCTTCCCTCATTAGACGAGGGATTCGTGCTTCACCTCATCTTGCTTCGTTGTCCATACGTCAGTGACGCCCCCGCTGTTTCCTCTCATTCTAATTAAAGGGCGACGAGAGCTCTTTTATATCCCGCTTCTCTTGGTTAATCCACGGCTTCCGCGTCCCAATCCGTCGCTGTCTCATCGATCCTCGCTATAAAAATCTGAGCTTTAGCCCCACCATCCCATCAAAATCCCACCTTGCGCCCCTCTCTCCTCGCACCTCCCAACATGGGCACGGTTCCCATGGCTTCGCTTGCCGTCTTCCTCCTCCTCGGCCTCGCCGCCGCCTTCGCCGCGCCGGACATGTCGATCATTAGTTACGACGAGGAGCACGGCGCGCGGGGCTTGGAAAGGAGCGAGGAGGAGGTGCGGCGTATGTACGACGCGTGGGTGGCGGAGCACGGGAGGGTGCACAACGCGCTGGGAGAGCGGGAGCAGCGGTTCGAGGTGTTCAAGGACAACCTGCGCTTCATCGACGCCCACAACGCCGACGCCGAGGCGTACGGGTTCAGCCTTGGTCTCAACCGCTTCGCGGACCTCACCAACGAGGAGTACCGGGCGACGTACCTGGGCACGAGGGCCGGCGGCACTGCCCGCCGGCTCAGGGCCCCGAGCGACCGGTACAGGCACGAGGCGGGCGACGAGTTGCCGGAGTCCGTGGATTGGAGGGAGAAGGGTGCCGTGGCAGCCGTGAAGGACCAGGGGAGCTGCGGTTAGTTTCCCTTTCCTTCTCTTCTCACATGGAGACTTACCACATACCCTTCCATGGCTCCTCCTTCCTCGTCTCCGCTTCCATATGGATCTATCTAATGCTTTGAGAAGGAAATGGCTTAGAGAAGTAGCTGATGAATGGAACAGGGAGTTGCTGGGCCTTCTCCACCATCGCTGCGGTGGAAGGGGTAAACAAGATCGTGACAGGCGATCTGGTGACTCTGTCGGAGCAGGAGCTCGTGGACTGCGACAGCGCCTACAACCAGGGATGCAATGGCGGACTCATGGACTATGCTTTCGAGTTCATCATCGGCAACGGTGGCGTCGACACCGAGGACGACTACCCTTACAAGGCCCGCGACGGGAAGTGCGACCAACACCGAGTAATTCCCACGGCGTCTGCTATGATCTCTTCGTAGTAATGAGCCAGATCGTTCTCATGGTGAATGGGCCTGATGATTGTTGCAGAAACTTGCTAAAGTTGTGGTGATCGATGGATACGAAGACGTACCTGCGAACGATGAGAAGGCCCTGCAGAAGGCTGTCGCGAACCAACCTGTGAGTGTTGCCATCGAGGCTGGCGGCAGGGAATTCCAGCTCTACAAATCGGTAAGATCGCCGTGAAGCTTTGACTCTCGATGAGATCATCTTGTCATGGTATTGGTAGTAAGTAGTACAGTCTCACACAATGAGAGTATCATCTTTAAGGAAAGTATACATTTTCTTCAGTGTAATTGGGGATTGGATCATATTAGTTTTATATGTTGAGAATTATCAAACATTCATAGGCTGTCAGATCTAACTTTTTGTGAAGAATTATTGGGTAGAGGAAATACTACAGATTTTGTGCCAGAATTCAATGTATAGGCATTTTCAATCATAATATGTGTTTAAATTGCAGAGCTCCTTAAGCCTTGAAACATATCTCAAAAGGATCTGACGCATCCAATAAGTACAGCTTCGGATTAATTCAGAACACAAAGACAACAATTAGATCAGCATTTGACAACAACTATGCTTTCATGTTTCTACAATTGTCGTCTGTAAATGCTACTATCTACTATTCCTTTTTCTTTTGTGTTACAAGCTGTGCAATATTTGTTTCAGGGAGTTTTCACGGGAAGATGTGGCACAAAGCTGGATCATGGTGTAGTTGTTGTTGGCTATGGTACTGAAAATGGCAAGGATTACTGGATCGTCAGGAACTCATGGAGCAGTGACTGGGGAGAGGCTGGCTATATCAGGATGGAGCGCAACTTGAACACGTCCACCGGCAAGTGCGGGATCGCGATAGAACCTTCTTACCCCACAAAGAAGGGTCAGAATCCGCCCAATCCTGGACCGAGTCCTCCCTCGCCCGTGAGCCCTCCGATCACGTGTGACAAGTACTTCTCCTGCCCGTCGAGCACCACTTGTTGTTGTGTCTATGAGTATGGCAGTCACTGCTTCGCCTGGGGATGCTGTCCTGTTGAAGGTGCAACCTGCTGTGAAGATCACCGCAGCTGCTGCCCCCCTGACTTCCCCGTCTGCAATGCCCAGGCCGGAACTTGTCAACTGGTAATCTCATGCTTTTGGAAACTTCTCATGCCTGCCAATCTTATCATCAAAGTATCACTGTTTGATATCAGATAATCCTCAGTCATCCGAAGAAAAAATACAGTATTCATAAACTTCGTGTAAAACTTAAAAAGAGTCATGCCAGTAAATCTGCTTAACTTAAAACCTGGAACATGAATTCATAAGTTGTATTGTAATAGAATTCAGTTTGATCAAGTATTTTGAGCTTAGATAAATGAACAAATTCTACTTGTTACAAAGTAGATCAAGACTGCATCAAGCTTAATTCTACACCAAACCATGCTTGAGCCTATATTGAGCAAGTAGATAAGCTAAATTCATGCATCATTCATGTCTTACACAAGTCTCTTTTGAATCTTGATTTAAATCCACTTCTATTTCAAACTTGAAGCATGGTAACATATTACTTTGTCAACTCTAATTCATATCATGTCCCTAAAAAGTATTATTCCACTCTACTAAGCATTGAGAACTCTAACATTCTAGGCTTAAACAGTCATAAAGATGGAAATATACACATTTATCAGTGAGACACAGAAGACACTTGTTAATAAAGAACTCGAGTGGAAACAAACAAGAACGATGTGTCCAAAATATTAGTTTCAAAATTTTGATAAAAGAGTTCTTACAAGTCCTGTTAAAGTCCAGAAAAGTTTTAATGTGTCAGGTGTGTGCATGTACACCTACTTTTTTTTCATAAAATTTCACATATACTCCAACTTTGGTTCCATGCCGACTTATTCCATAGCTGATCAAATGTATCTCGGTTCAGACTTGGGTTAAAAAGTTGTATCTTGTTATTGACTTTCCTCATTTACATGCGAGTTGAGGTCATTAGAGCATGGTTCTGTGCTCCTTAAGTTACCGGCTTTACAATACGCCAAATGACTTTTAGGACTGGTACTGTGGTCCAGCTGCATACATACAAATTCCTTACTGGCAGCAGGCCCATATCACTGTCATGTCTTATTTAGATGTCAAGCTGGATACAAAGTTGCCAACAGATGGCGCTTCTTATCTTTTACCTGGTAGCTGAGCTTATGCATGCTTGCAAAAAAGCGAACCTTTAGGTATACAAAGTTACAAACAAATGATTAGTCCTCATCTAGTTTGATTCTGGGTGGGGGTTGTATTCCTGCAGTAATGGTGATGACTCATGTTGTATTTAGCATAATGACCTGGAATATGAATATCTATGTATAACCTCATGCTCTATTTATCTTCAAGAATATTTTGGACTGTGTTTTTCGATATCTGTTCATTTCCATTTCACACTTTTATGTGTATGAACAGAGCAAAGACAACCCACTGGGAGTGAAAGCTCTTGATCGCATTCCTGCGAAGCCACATTGGGCATACTCGGATGACGAGAGCAAGAAGATCGAAATATGAAGATTCATGCATTGATTTCTTTGCGGAGAGAATTAAGATTGCCCCAGTGGCTCAAACTGCATACTTCTCCCCTACTTTATGAACTGAAAGCTTAGCTTGTTGCTTATTTGACAAGTGTTCAAATTTCTAATGTCAGACAAGCCAAAAGATGGTTTACTGCTTAATCATGTATAATTCAAGTTGTCATTTGCTTTCCAAGATACAACCTTCAAATGAGATGTTGTATGAGCCCATTCACTTTTCATGAGCTTCAAAGATTCATTGATACTAAAGAAGGTCAGGGGATTAGTTTATGCCATCTAGCTTCTGTTGTTCATGTTGTTTTGTTGTTTCATGAGATGACATGTTGGCAATGATGTCCTCATCACCTATTTCTATTTACTAGCTAATATGTTAGACTTCATCCTATGTGCTACCATGTCCTCAGTTAGCTTACTCCATGAAAGGTACTAAAATGGGTTTCACTTGTTTGATGTCTTCTTCCTTCATCATCAGTCTTCTGAAAACCTCAATAACAATGTTTTCTTTTTCTTGGTCTCTGTAAACACTGAAAGTTGCAGATTCAATTAGGTTTTCTGGGGTTATTGTGCCATTCTTCTGTCCTTGGGGAAAAGGGTGATGAAGAAAGTTCCATCGAGTCAACCTACTGTTGCATTTTCCCATAGATGATCACTTTCCTATCACCACCTGTTCTAAACACACTAATTGTTTGTCAAGGTGTTCCTATCACATCTTCTACACTTCCAGTGTCAACACAATGAAGCCTCAATGGACCTCAGACCTAACAAACAATAAAAGCAAGAGAGTTTGACATTATGCTTGTGTGCAGTGCAGAGACACCAAAAGAACTTAAGTGGGTGGATGAGAAAAAGAAGGAATTATATATTGCCTCCTCAATCTAATCATGTGGTTCATGAGTCTATACTTGCCTATGGCATTATGAAAAAGAGAAAGCAGTAAGCTTTCAACCACTGCCACCAAATTGTGAGAACAATTTGGAGTTTCATGACTAGGATATCACTAGTTCTTGGTTTGCAAAAGCAACAATGCAGGAAAAGGTTTCACCTCAGCCAAAAAGATCTTAAATATAAAGCATTATAAGCTTCCCACCATTGTCACCAAATTGTGAGATCAACTTGGACTTTCATGACTAGGACATCACTAGTTCTTGGTTTAGGAAAGCAACAGTGCAGGAAATGGACTCATCTAAAAAAATCTTAAATGTTTGCTCTTATATTGATAAATTTGAGAGAGAACTTAAGAATAATACTTTGGCATTACCTATACTTACATAATTAAGTTCATAGTACAAATTAAAACATAAAAGCAATTCCTAAATTTAACTCTCTCTCTCTCTCTCTCTCTCTCTCTCACAGTTTCAGAATGATTCATCAGTTTAGAATATGCCAAATGCTCTGACTGACAGAAAGCAATAATGTCTGCTAAAGGATGCATTGAATAGATCCAACGAGTCATACCAATGATTTCACATGTGCTAGATAATGCCCAAGGTCTTATACCTCCACAAAAGATTAATGATAACTATTCCCACTGATAAAAACTTAGTTCAAAGGATCAGTTCATCCAAATCTATGTTCTTTACTGAAGCAGTACTAAGTGATTAAAAGAACCCTAATAACTCGACTAGAAGAGTGGAACTCACCTCTGCATTCTTGCTAGTTTCCTGTGACAATCCCATCACCAGCAGCAGCAGCAGGCAAACAAAACCCTATTAAAGAAGATGAACAGTGGAGTCTTACCAACCAATCCTCCCATGGCCATCCGTGATCAGTCCCCACCGTAGACTCCGCCCCGTCCAACCGCGACCACTGTATTATTGTCCCCAATCCATCTCCTTCTTTTGCGCAAAGTATGATTCTGTTCTCCTCGTGACCTTCGGGCCCCTACCTCCCTCTTTTTGTCGCTTTCCTCCCTCCACTTTATGCATCACCGTTCACACATGCTCTCTCTCTCTCGGCCAAACAGTCTCAAGATCGAGACATATATGACAACACTACACTGCACGGAAACAAACAAGTTAGGAGGAGGAACCAAATGAAGGAAGAGAAGCTTTAACATGGCTATCAGAACACTGCTGCTGGTTCTCTGCATCATCTTCCTCCTCGTCTCTCCCTCCCTCAGTGGCCGTACGCAATTGGAGCGGCAGAGAAAAGCCATTGAGATTAGCATCGGCGTTGGCGTCGGGGGCAGTGGCAGTGGCAGCGAGAGCCCCACTGCGTCGCCATCTCCAACGGATAATTCTTGCGGCTGCTCACCGCCTGCGTCGCCACCGTCGTCCGAGCCGCAGCCCTCCGACTTCCCCAACCTCAAGCAGTACTACGCCTACCTCGTCATCCAACGCTTCAAGCGGAGCATCACCTGCGATCCTAATGGCGTCATCCAGACATGGGTGGGCTACCGGCCTTGCACCTACCAGGGCTTCTATTGTGCAGCCCCGCCGGACTCCCCCGACACGCCCACCATCGCCTCCGTAGACTTCAATGGCTTCCGCCTCTGCGCGCCGACTGTCGCCGGCTTCGTCGACCAGCTCCCCGACGTCGCGCTCTTCCACGCCAACTCCAACAACTTCTCCGGCCCCATCCCCGACCTCACCGGCCTTCCCTACCTCTACGAGCTCGACGTCAGCAACAACCTCCACTCCGGCCCGTTCCCGGCCGACGTCCTCGCGCTAAGCAACCTCATCTTTCTAGACCTCCGTTACAACCTCTTCGCCGGCTCCGTCCCGGCCTCCGTCTTCGCCCTCGACCTCGACGTGCTCTTCCTCAACAACAACAACTTCTTCCGGCCGCTGCCGGCCGACCTCGGCAGCTCGCCGGTGGCCTACCTGACACTGGCCAACAACGGCTTCACCGGGCCGATCCCCCGGTCCATCTGCAACGCGTCAAAAACCCTGGTCGAGGTGCTCTTCCTCAACAACAAGCTCTCCGGCTGCCTACCGTACGAGATCGGATTACTGAGCATTGCGACGGTGTTCGACGCGGGGTTCAATCAGGTCACCGGGCCGATACCGTGGTCCTTCGGCTGCCTGCTCAAGGTGGAGCAGCTGAACCTGGCGGGGAATCTGCTCTACGGGGAGGTGCCGGACGTGGTATGCCGGCTGGCCAAGGACGGCAACTTGGCGAACCTGTCGCTGTCGGGGAACTACTTCACCTCGCTGGGACTCTCCTGCTGGGACTTGGTCAAGAGCAAAGTGCTCGACGTGCGGCATAACTGCATAGTGGGACTGCCGGAGCAGCGGCCGCCGTCGGAATGCTCCAAATTCCTGTGGCGGCCGAAGCACTGCCCGGTGTCGCACTATATTCCATGCAGCCTCTCGAATTGTTCGGTAAAGCCGGCGACGTCGAAGTCGAAGTCGTCAGAGTACATGACCTATAAGGCGCTTCATCAACCACCGCCGAATTAACAGATTACCAGACACTGCAGCATCATCACTTCTTCTCCTCATGTCTTCGTCTCTTTCATATATTTCCGCCCTGCAACTTGTATTCTCGGTCTTCTTCTTGATCAACTGTAAGCACCAAGAAAGGGTAATTTAGCGCAGTTGAATAATAACACGAATGCGGCGACGAGGCCTTTTCCAAGCCATCAATATGATAAAAGTAGAGATCGCAATCCGATACATGAGCTGGACGCCTTGTCGGTGCGCGCAAAAGAATCGAAGAATGCGGTTCTTTCTCTTTCTTATTGCGATGGATCACCAACCGGGAAAGCCACAAGATATGGCCAGTGGCTAATGTTCGCAACATGTCTAAACATGGTTGACCATGCATAACGCATGAAACTTGATTCCACCAAATCATAGGGCTAATGACTGTCTAGATTCTCAGAGGGGACGGCACTCCCAATGATCAACTGAATCCATCCTCTACATCTGTAGAAAGTCAAAAGCAATGCTCACATTGATCAATTACAATGCTATCGGATAAAACACATCTACAATTGGAAGCAAAAGCACTAAAAAGCGTTCTTGCACTAATGTGGTTTGTATCTCTACATCTTGAAACTGTAATCTGTTTAGTTTCACTATGCCTGATTGATATGTAGATAGAATAGGATGTCATCATGTTGTCACATCAACTTGGACCAAAAATGCAAGTTCTGATAAAAATATGCTACATTGAATTCACTGACTGGTCTTTCACATGAAGTCAGAAACAACCCAGTTTATCAAGCAAGAAAGCACTTGTGCAAAGCAACAAGTCCTACTGTCACTCTCTATCAAGGGTTGCAGAAAAGATTGTTACTTTGATCAAAAGTATGAGGTTTTCTTCTCAATTAACCAATTCGGTGATCAGCAGGAGGTAAGAGATCTATATCTACAAGCTCATGACATCCAAGGGAAAAGCTATATTACAGGGATCGAGTAATTAACCTAATCAAGATATCAATTATCTGAACAATTTCAAACCTTTAATCCAACACAAGAATGAAAAAGTAAAATCGCCAGTCTGGAGCTTTAGTTGACCGCTATGCACATAGAACTTCAATATGTTGGGCATGCATCTACAAAAAAATTTGTTGACCAATTATACCGGGACTCTATTGCCTCTGTAGCGATTAAAGAACTGCAAAACAAGAGATGAAAAATGCAGAATGACTATTTAAACCATAGAAACTGAAACTTAGCCTCGGTTAGTAACTTTAATCATTCAATGTGTATCTCCTTACCGATGATACAAATGGCTGTTGGAGTAACCAGCCAATTATAGGGATCCTTTGTGAAAATATCGCTAGTGTTGACCAAAAGCCACTGCCAGGTAAACCGAGTCAGCAACAAGAATGATAAAATATCAAAGATAAAGCACGATCTATCCAGTTGTCCAAATTAAAAGCAAGCTAAATGAAGATCCTTTGATGCACAAAAGCACCTATTTCCTACATAACAGAAGTGCACTAAATACTTGGCAGGGAAGCTTATCAAGCCCTTCATGGTACAGAAAGGAAAAGTGGAGATATCAAACATTTAGATACGAGTGTGCAAAGATGTAATCTTTGTGCAAATGGCCAGAAGAAAACATTCCTCACCGGAAGAGAATGATGAATCCATACGATTCCAAGATCATGCCAATGACAGGCCATCCAATCAGCACTAAAATGAAGCCCGATCCAAATGAAATTGTACCCTGTCAAATGGTCTATAAACTAAGAAATTATGATGATCCACAAGAACCATTTTAGGATGACATTTTAGATTTAGAAATGAACCTTGAAATTCTTAGGCTTAGTGAAAAACTGCATCGTGGATTTCAGCCCAATGGTCAGCATCACGCCTGACAGAAAGAGAATCTGGAGTGCACCAAGGACAAGTTTTTCAGTAGTTGCAAGAAAAGAAAAAAGACCAAATAAACAACATGGAGGGAAGGCATCTGGTTTTAAAAGAGACAAAACTCACATTCCCCATAGCCAGAAGTCCCTTATCGAAGAAAAAGATGATTCCCAGGATTGAGAAAAATATCCCAAACCCCGTCAAGCCCAGCCCAATTTCTGGTGACAGACTTGAAGTTAGAAGATGAGATCATACAATTCACAAGGATCATATTGTCATTCAATTTTATTTTACAAGAGAAATTAAGTAATAAACATGGTGCTAACCTTGTGATTTGAAGAAAAACAAAGCTTCCTATCAAGAAATCCACACCATAGCAAGAGAGATAGACTCTAATCAAGCGATTTGAGAAATTTGACACAAAATGGGAGCAATCTGAAGAAGAAATTAAGGGGAAAAAATGGAGAAGAAAGAAATTCTTGGTTGAAAAGCGGCGGAATCAAGTGAGGAAAATGAGAATTTAATGGGAGGGTGCTAAGTGGTAGGCTTAACACTCAAGGTATAGTATTGGTGACATAACCAAGTGGTATGCTTGGTGTGTAAAAATATCGAGCATGAAAGCACGCAGTTAGCATGGAAGCTCGTGGTCAGACTGGTAAATACTAGTCCGTAGAGACTGTGCGACCAAAACCTTAATCCTTGATTGATGGCTTCTTGTCATTATTATTATAGTAGCACGTGTTACAGAGACAAAATGTATAAATCCATTCTCAAAAGGGAGGTTGACTCTGAAGCCTTTACCATTTGTAGTAGGTATAGAAATACACCACAATAAATTTAAATGCTTGACGAGTAAGTTAAAAAGTTATTCATTTCAGCTATAACAAATATAGATAATTTAGGAGATACGTGGATCCATTAACGCACAATTGTGCATTGGAGATAATTCGACTAAAACACCGAAATGCATTTTGAGAAAAATTCATACTTTTCAGATCATTCATCTCAAATGAGACCATGGTGTCAAACTAGCTGGCGAGCAGGAACCTGCAACAGCAAGAAAGTGTCAGCTACCAAGTTAGAAAAACACATATAAGAAAATTATTGGTCATGTTCCTTCACAAGCATGGTCAAGATGTTTAAAAGGATCAATTTATAACTTCCCACCACATGCAGATATCTCTACGCCCGACTCGCCCTTGGAACTGTGTTCTAGTCACACATTTAATACTTTGCATCCCAAATCAATGTGATTTGTGATCCAAATCATTAAATTTGTGTTTCAGTCTTATAGTTGCTTTATAAATATAAATCAAATCAAGACAAATAAAATCAACAGAAATTTCTACTCTAGAATTAAAGAAAAAGAATATAACAAAAGTGTTGAATAATAAAAAAAATATCTATGAGTCATGGAGAAGAACAAGTCAGTAAGTGTGTTGTCATTGTTCAAAAGTTGTAGATTAGTCAGAATTGTCAAGATTTTGTCATAATTCAAAGATGTACCAATTTGCCAGTAAACACAAATTATTTAAGCTTTTGCATGCTAAAATCTCACAATACCTTTCTGGTAGAAAGATAGAAGGGGCTGATCAACAAATTTATTCCTCCTTAAATTTTAGACCACCTCAGATATCTACCTTAATTAACAAAAATCCTCTTCCCCATCTTAATTTACCTACAAGCTTCTGCTTTTTTCCATAAAACTACAATTCTTTCTAAAGCAGATCTAAGCATGAGATTTTACAGTCTGATCAATTTTTGCATTAACCTGGTCCACCATTTTATGCTATCTATCATCTACTATTTCCACGTATGATCTACCAGCCTCATATCAATGGTTCAGTAGTCACTAACTTGCACGATTCTCATACTACAACAGCAACAATAAAGCCACAAGTCTTAGCTATTTGAGGTCGGCTGCATCAATCTTTTGTTGCCATTGAGATTTGTAAAAATTAACTTGCACGATTCTCATAAATTTTTAATATATCAACCTGTAATTCAACGGAAAACCTAAATTTATAGCTAGATTTTTTTAATAGATATTTTCAGTATGAAACCCTCGAACCCCTTTCTTGTCTGAGCCAAATGTATCCTCTAGTCCTATACAGATTAATTTCCAAATACTGCTCCATTCTCTTAATAAAAGTAGGGAGCTGTTCTAAATTTTAACCCTACCACTACGTTCTTGACTAGCAAAGGTCCACCCTTACTCATAAGGATGATATCCATCAAAATCCGTTTTATGATATGTGAAAACTGATTTAGAAGACAGAACGTCATGTATCTTTTCTATAGCTCTCATTTTTAATGCCAACAAATGGCCAAATTAGCATGTTCTATAACACTGATGATAACTGGTGTTCCTATATTCAAATGGGCCAGCTTAATATGAGAGAACTTAAAATATTTGTAAAAGCATGTTTTCCGCTGTTACTTAGTTTTCATACTTTTCGGCTCAAATTCTGCACCCCTGTGCCAAAAATCTGTCTTGGCCAATTCAATAAATGGCTACCTAAAGCATAGTCCTCACAAACTTATTCAACTTTTGCCACTCAAATCTTCCAACTACGGGAACACAAATGGGCTCAGCATTCCATCTTTGGACTATTTGTTCAACTATAATTCTAAGTATCAAGTTATCTATATTAACCAAAATAAAAATCTCACTTTTCCTAAGCACAGCATAAATCTTTTATTTCTTTCTTGCTCTGTGTTTTCTCAATCAGAGTTGCTTTCAGAGACTTCCAATCCAAGACATTTCCCTGACAAGTAGGTCTGAGTTAGCTATTTGTCTAAATATCCACACAATCAATGCAAAATTCACACGCGTCAGCTGTCAAGATATCCAAATTCGTATCTACTGATGATTAATGGATACAAACAACCTCTACCAGCCACCCCACCTTGCAGAGTACAACAAACAGCTTTAATATCTGATAATCCAAGAAAGGCAAGAAAAAGTGACCATAAAAGCAAGAGAGTTAGGGTTTCAACATCAGCAACATACAAAGTTAAACAAGCTGAAAAATGGACCTACAAATTGTGACAGAAACAATCATATCTGACCGCCGTACTTCACAAAATGAAAGGAGTGGCGATCGATCGTGATTCCCACGAACGCAGAAATTACAGGGAAGAAAAAGGCTCGGGAAAATACACAAGACGAACGAATCCAAGAACGGATCAATAGAAGAATCACCACAAGAGTCTCCAAATTAACGGCGGAACGTGATCACGAAAAAGAGGCAGAGATCGCTACCTTACGAAAACTTCCGATGGGCGGAAAGGGAAGGGAAGAGTCGACGGCGAGGAATTCGGGACGGGCTTACGGTCGTGTCGCTGTGAAGACCGTCGGAGGGGACGAACCTGTTCAGTGCAACGACTTAAGTTTCGAAATGGGCTGAAAACTAAAGTGACACGTGTCGATGGAGGTTCGAGTCGTATCTCGAGCCGTAGCACAAGGTGCGGTTCCGATGATCACGAATCGAATCTATAAACTGAGAATAATTAAAGGGATCATCAAACTAATAATAATAAAATGATAAATAACAACAAAATAACAAAGAAATAGTATACCAAAAAATAAATCGATGGTTGCATATTAATATATGCAACAAAAAAAACATAAGAAAATATACTACAAAAATGACATAAAACACATGAATCGTAGTTGAGTAGTTCCAGGCAATAATTATGCATATTGGATGACTGTTCTTGTTGAGACTGCAAGAGATGAAATCAAAGGTCCATAATATGATCAAACTAGCAGGTTTTTTTTGTCTGCGTAAAAGCTCCCATGAAAAGCTTCAAGCTTTATTATCACGATGCACACAGACAACAACAGTACGAGTAAGGTGACATGATCTTCCTTTTGACACGGAAAGTGCAGTCACTGTGTGGGGTCTCGTAATGAGGAAGACCAACAATGGTTGCGAAACAGTGGCCTCTCTCTCTCTCTCTCTCT